TTGAAGACGTTAATCGTTGATAAAACCCTTGACACGCCGTTGCCAACGAATGTTAATCGTGGCATCGATCACAGTCCCTGCTATCGTCTTTTTTTATCATCCCTGTTATTACTCCTCCGCTGTTCTGTTCCGCGAGAATACTGGCGAGAACGATTGCGAACATCCAGCATCGACGTTTCGCGTTCACGCATTTTCCTGTACCACATATAGCACATACTAAAAAAAAGAAGTTTTTAAACATTTAACTCTTCGTAATTATACTTCTTCTGAGGTCAAAATGACCCCAAATGATTGCCGTATTCACAGTTCTATGAAGTAAAAAGAATTATTGATTAAAGGGGTCATTGACTCCAGTATGACCACAAAGGGTTAAATATGTTCGTATTGAAAAAAATTTTTTTTTAAATATCTTTAAGTACCCAAGCAAAACAACAAGTCATGATATCAAGATGATGTTAAATGACTTCAAAATGATCATTAAGTCATTTTTTAATCATTTCGATTTATTTTAATGTCATTTTGACGTTATCGTGACTTATTCTGCTTGGAGTTTAAAAAACGGAGACAAAAATAAAACATTTTAATATCTTAAAATTAAATACTTCTTTTTTTAGTGCATGTGTACACACACACACACACACACACACACACACACACACATTCGTACACATAAAATGCACGCGCGCATTTAGAAGTCTCTCACGAAGGCAGACGTTCCCTCTGTCCTCGTCGTCGCACGATCATTTCGAGCCGCATATTATAAACATATTTCGCACTCGTATCCGATTATTTAAAGACTCGACGATCCGGAGTTCCTGGGATCTTCAAGGCTTTCGGAAGCGATTTCTGCAGGATGCCGACGCTTCCGGAAGCTTCTGATGCCCGGAAACGGGGCTCCCCTGAGATTCGCGACTGTTGGCCTGAGGATTCGAGGCACCGACGGTTTTAAGGATACGCTACTGATTGCATTTACGCGCGTAGCCGAGGAACGGCAGCGCGTTTTTTTTTTTTTTTTTTTTTTTTAAGAGCAGGCTCGATGAAACGCGGCGCCACGCGCCGCGACGTTAACGTTCGCGTTAGCTTAAGTACGGGGTTTTTAAGCTTTTTAAAGTTACGGCCACCGGAGGGGGAGCGCGATATCCCCTCCTCTCTCACTCCGGTTGGCGGCAGGTGATACCGGTAAGTGCAACCAGTAACTTAAGCACCGCCACACACCATTACGGTAAATCATTAATATGTAAGAGTATATAGTATGTAAAGTGACATAAAAGAAGATGGGAGGTCGCAGGCGAGAGATCGTGGTTTTTAAAATTCCGAATGAACGAAGAGCGTATATATAAATATAAATATGAATATAAATATAAATATAAATATAAATATAAAATGTAAGCGATTTCGTATTTTAAGCGCCGGATAGGCGGGTTTCACAGAAATTAACTGACGAACTATTAAGGATTATTATTTATTAGCTATTACAAAAGTATATGATATAAATATATGTATATTATATAAACCTTATACTAGTAGGGGAAATCAAATTTTATGTACCACAGAGCTATTTGTATAAAAGGCATTTGTTTCACTACACGAATCATGAATTGTCATCGCTGGACATTTGATTGCCCATCATCGTCATTGCCGTCACCAGCCTGACGGCAACTTTAGGTAACATATATTTTGGATAATTAATCATGAAAGGATTTCTAGTTTTTATTAGGATCTTAGGTATATACGTACATTTGCATTACCTGTATTTTGTCAGGATTAGTTATTAAGTTTCTAAGTCACGTGCGCGCTTGTCAATGCGAAGAGACTGGCGGTTTTAGCGAACGATTTTTATGGAAGGAACCTTGCTCTGTTCGGGCCAATCAAATTTGCAAAGGAAAAAGTCGAGGAGAGCGTATGTACCTTCGAGTTTGCGGGCGAATCGGCGGCGTGTCAACCCTTTCTGTAGATAAGAAACCGAAAAATAAAAAAAAAAATCCCAAGATTGAAAGATCCAAAGAAATCCATTGATTCAAATCGATTTAATTTAGAGATCGAAGAAGACTATGGATTCGTACAAGTGTTTAGATATTCGAATGAAAGATTAAACGATGTAATATCTTTAAGACCTTAAATATCTGTTCCGATTCATCAATCGCAATAAAAAGTTCTAAATTTTCTTTTTTCGCTTTAGAATAATATTATTCCTCCTCGAAATAGAGATTGATCGAGACAGGGGATGAATAGCTTCAAAAATCCGACTCTGCCGTCGTTCGTTCGGCGAACATTCACTTCACTTGTATCTCTCGCTTCACTACACTGTGTAGATCCGATCGCTTTCGCTGTATGATTTTACAAAGAATAAAGAATACCTACAAGACACAGATCGGAAGGCGTTTATTGAACAGTCCACGATGACCTCAGCAGGATCGAAGATATGTACGGCGGAATGTGTGAGAGGTAAGTCTTGTGTTCGGTCACACGATTTTATATATCATCTTCTGCGATGCAAAGACCGTCTCTCAATTGAAGCTGGATGCAGAACGATATTGATGCAACGATATTGTCGTATAAAAAGAGACCGGAAATTACACTGAGAAAAAATATGTATTAAATTTTAATATAAATATTTATTCAAATAATACCAAATATTTATTCAAATAAAACATACTGAAAAAATTTCTGATTGAAAATGGACGAATCAGAATTTTCTGATAAAATTTATTAGAATTTTAGTTGAGATAATCAGATTCTGGTTGATACAATATTTGGTAAAATTTACTAGAATTCTTATTTTTACCAGAATAATTATCAATCAAAATTCTAATTATCTCTGAAATACTAGAATTTAACCAAAAAATTCTGATTCGTTTTCCATAAGAATTACTATTTAATCCAATTAAATTATTTTTCTCAGTGCAACTAAACATTTACTTACATAAATAAATATTTATTCAATAAAAAAAGATTGTTAAAATTAACGAAATTCTTATAAATAATAAATTTTCATATTTAGTAAATATATTTAGTTGATACTATTCAATCAAATTGTTTTATTAAAATTTAGAATTTTTTTTCAGTATATGATTTCATATTTTACACGCTGAGAAAAAATATCGAAGTATTGCAAAGCAAATGTTACTTATGAAATTTGATTGTGATAATGAAATATACATTTCTGTATATCTCATTAGTTGCAAAAAAATAAAATAGATGGCTTATTTGCTAGGAATAAAATTTTATTTCGCCCCCTTTAAATAAATATTTATTTAAATATAAATATATTTTTCACAAATATAATAATATTTTTAGGCATCTTTTTTTGCACGGATTTCTCTTTTGCGCATGAAAAAACAATTTTGCTGAAATATCTAAAAATTTGTCTGAATACATTTGAAAATAATTTTGTTTAGACCATCAAAATAATTATGTAGAATTATGCTAGTTGCTAGAATGTGGAAACTTTTGCAACATTGTTATTAAAACTTCAACATTTTACATAATTATTGTTATAATCCAGCAACATTATTTTCAGATTTGCCTCTAGCTAAATTTTTAGACACTTCAGCAAAACCATTCCTTCCGTGCAGATTTCCGTGCGGATTTAGGTCAATTTAGATGAAAGCAAGACACTGGCGTAAGATACGTTTTTCAGTAGTTTATTTTAAACCTCGTGTTACAAGATAAGGCTAGCAGCAAGGCTTTGTTCGTGCGCGTGCATTTGGATTTCCTGTATTGTACGTAATGTGACGCGTGTAACAGAGTACATGTACGATTAATACGTTTACAATAAAGATCGCCGGAAGGTCACGTGCGAATTGAATTACAATATTCTTTCATTATCGATATCTTTTTCATTTCTTTCCGTATTGCCACCACGACTCACCTACGCTTACCAAGAAGAAGTCATTTATGGAAAAGCGTAGAAGATACGGAAAAGTCCAAGTTGATCGGTGGAAGTCGAAAATTCTTAAAACTGATGTAAAAAGAAAACTAAAGTAAAAAGTCGCATTCCAAAAGTGCGAAGACAAAAGTGCGAGTTACTTAAATTATAATCTGTCGAGTTAATTGCGACAATTCAGACTGATTGCATATCCTCATACAGTGTGAGAGTATAAAATCTCTTTCTACAGTTCTACAATTCTGTTCTACGACGCAGCAGTACTTTTGATCTACATATTCTCCATGAATTCAGTTATCCCGAATACATACAACGTACCTATGACAATCAGCGTGATTTACATCAGTAAGACTTCTCCACATAATTATCTTTACTCACATATTCGCGCTCCTTTCTCTCTCTCTCTCTCTCTCTCACACCCGCATGCATACAGAGACAATTACGCCATTTTCTCTCTCGCGCATTTTTATGATAAATCCAGTCTCTCTCGTTACAACACGTAGGTCACATCGATTGATTAAAAACGATATTGAAGACAATATGTACAGATTGATTGTATATACTAAATTATTATTAATTTGAACGACGAGTTAGTACCTTAGTGAATATTACGGTGACATTGCACGCCGAGCGGAACAATCGGGTTGATGGTATCGTTCTTTATTTGCATCTAATGAAAAATTTATGTATTCGCAATTAATTAATCGATTTTCCAACAGACATTCCAACATTTACTATTTATAGAAATGATAAATAATTTTTAAAAAGCACTGTAAAGAATATTAAAGAATATAGAAACATTAAATTAAAAATAAAATCGGATCAATAATTAATCTTTACGTTTACAAATTTTCCTATACTTACCTCAGTCACAGCGATGCATTAAAATCATTTAGACACAGCTATTCTGATATATAAAAAATGATACGAATCGTTCTATCTAAAATACAGCGGTAAAAAGAGAATTTTGACAAAAGAAGAAAGAAAATAGAAAACACAGAACAGTTTATATCCGATCGTTCAATTACACTCAGTCGAAAATTTGGTCAAATTAATAAAATATAATATATTATATATTAATTATATATAATAAAGGAAATAACTCCTTCCCTCCTCGTGTAAATATTTAAATAATCTGGTTAAGTAACCGTTTAAAGCAAACGGTGCATATATTATATTAAAAAGATTATCCTTTCGGCTCCTTTCACTTCCCTTATCGTTCCCTCCGCGAAACTTATCTCCGATAACTTAACAATTATATATATGTTGCAACATGTATAACATATACATATATATATGTATATATTAACTAACATTATTAATACGCGTTTATTCGACGATCTAAATTTATTACATCATGACGCGTAATTGGAGTATCTTTAATCGCCCGGTATAGCTTTGTGATGCAGGAATATATATTTATATAAATGTATGTATACATATATCTATATTTATTTAAAACAACAAAGACGAGAGACACCCACATATAATTTGTCATACGAAGCTTCCGACTTTTCCTCCGCGTATAATAATTTCAATTGTCCGTTAATACGATTTCAGAAACAAATCAAGCTAGAGGATCTAGAATTCCATGAGTACAAAAATGGTACGCTTCCGAGATTGAATCCGAGAGATTCGATATTGCGCTGTGTAATGACGTATATTACGTGAATGCATGTGCGTATGTGAGTACGCGTGTGGAGATCGTTTTATGGCGCGGTGCGTTTGTCGCGGCGAGAAAATCACACGTGCTTATCAGCGTATCATTGTCGTCGTCATCTTCGTCGTCATCGTTGCCATCGTCGTGGCGATCATCATCAGTGCATGGCCCAGCCGATGGTGTAGTTACGAGAAGCTCTTCCCATGCGGCGCAGGCGATCTGCCGAAAGAAACATGTTCGAGGGAACCATTACGGTGGGAGGTGTTCCAGGGGTTTGATGATCGACGTGAGGATTTCCCAAGAATCGGTCTGGGAGACTTCGAGTTGGAGCTCGACGAGTTCACGCAGCCACGGATCCTCACATCCGCGGACATTCGGATCAGTAACTGCATTCAGCAGAAAAAGTGACTTTGCAATTGTTAAATTCTTTAATATGATTGATTTGTATCCTTAGTTCCTTATTGGATCTAAATGCATGAATTAATTATATCAACCTTTTATCAATCATATTAATCATTAATAATATTAACTTTTAAGTAGATTGGCAGCACATCAAACGTGGTTCTCTTAAAAATCTTATTTTAATAAAGGAAAATAAAAAGTATCTAGACACCCGTAAGTCTCAAAATTCATTACTTTTACATTCCTCTATCTCACAAGGATACAACTGATATAAAGATTAACTATAATAAAATATACACTGTCGATTCAATAATACCATTAATGAAATAAATATGTTATACTCTTGTTTTGATAAAAATTTTACTTGTTTCATTAATATGTTATTGTAAATCTACAAGATTATTTTCAATTAAAATGATATTATTGATTAGCATCATTTTTTTTACTACTATGTACTATAATAAAAAATATAACTGTAAGATTAAACAGTTATAATTCCGTGTTCTTTTAATTGATAAAATGAATTTTTTTGTAGCACCTTATCAGCTTCCACTATCTACTTACTTAAAGATCTACTTAATTAAAGAATATTACAACAGTTGCAAAGTTCCTTTTACAACCGAAACGCAGCCAATGATACTCAAAGGCGAAGCGATTCCAAAGTCATCGACTAAGCTCTTTGGATTCGCAGATCCTCGAACGCGAGGATCGTCGAGAGATGATCGGACAGACGGGTACTGCGATGAAATTATTTTATCCGGCTTCAATTAATTTATCCGACAACTTCGACCGCGTTTCAAGTCGCTTCAGTCAATAAAGATAATCTTTCTTCTATATAACGTCAGTAATTGAAAAACGTACTCAATTTCCGATATAAATGTTTAACAATATAAAAAGGATTTGTCGTGATATTTGACGAATAAATGAAAATTGTACAAAATATCCCAGGACGTAATATAAATCCCTGTAAGCGCGTAAAAGCTTCGTCATGAAACCACATCGTGATAAGATCGGTTGTTAAAGCTCTCGAAAAGTAAACGTAAAAGGACACTGGCAATCTACATCATGATGATTCTTCAGAAGAGAGTAATTCGCACCGTCCGCTACCACTTTTCCCGGATTTCCCTTTTTTTCCGTCTCGCACCGGTCGTAAAGCAAAAGTAATTAACGCGGGTACTATGTCGAGTAACGACGATAAAACACTTTATGTGTCAGAAATTTATATACATGCATGGAGCTTGCCGCATTAATTCGCACGAAGACATAATATGTACGTCGTATCTCGACGTATATACGTATATACGTATGTGATCAGTGATCTCGCGGTTGTCCCCCGTGAAGGCAACGAATTTCCCGCCGGCGTTAATTTCCGAGTCGCGATGAAAAGATGGAAATTGTATATATCGTTGTATATATCGTAATATCGTTCATTCATGTTATAATCACTTTTGCGACGAAAGTATAATTGCGCTAACATATTATTACGGACGTTTATTAGCCGCCTTAATGGACGTGTTCAAGTCGACAAAAAAATTAGCCTGCTTGCCAAGCGATTTAACATGATGACTTATAGATCCAATCAATTATATTAGATATCGAAGAACCAACAACCTAATCTCTTGAATTAAATGACATTTTATTATGTTTAATTTCTATGTGTATCAAAATGTAAAACAATCGATTTCTGTGTGATTGAATCGTTTAATTCCAAAGTAAACATCTATATTAACATGTATATAACACTTACTTAAAATAATTAAATTTGACTCTTTAATACATATTTTTGAGTTAAATTGTTTAATGCTATTGTTTTTCAAATCAACAATTTAATGCTAGGAGTAATGGCAACCTATTAAAAATATATCTCAAATAGGATATAATTTGTCATTATGAATTTAATTTAAAGTATAGATCTAATTAATCATATTGTTAGATATCAAAAGTACAGCAATCCAATCTCAGTGAGTTAAACATTTTATTATATTTAACTTCGATGTGTGTCAAAAATGTAAATAAATCTATTTCTATATGACTGAATTACTTAGTTTCAAAGTAAACAACATATTAACTATCCTATGCATTTATAAAAACAATAAATTAAATTTCAGTCAAATTTAATATATACTTTCGAATTAACTTGTATAATTCTACACGGAGAAAATAATTGGTTGAATTAACTGGAATTTTGATGGAAAATGAACAATCCAAAATTCTGGTCTATTAAATTTCTGGTTAAATCTATTAAATAGAATTCTAGTAGATTTAACTAAGGAAATTCTGAATGTTGATTATCTCAATTAGAATTCTAATAGATTTAAGAATGTATTAGACACACATACAGTCCCTGCAAAGAAAATTAAATTTATGTTTAATATTTATACTTCAAATAAATTATTTATATACATATAAAAGTTGTGTGAATAAGATTATATTTTTGTTTAATAATCCATTTTTGTAGTTTATTTATTATATTTATTGTTAAAAATTAAAATTAAAAGAAATGATAAAAAGATTTACATTACACATATTTTTTCTTTCAGTATGTACTTCAAATATTTAAAATAATTTATGCAAAGTTCCATTGCGATTCACTGATTAGTTACAAAGATATAGAACAAATAAATATTTCATTTATTTACGGAACAATTGTTTCATCACAATATAACGCTACATAAATAATCTTGAATCCATAACGTATTTATATTACAAAATTGACATTTTTATCATTTACTTTATATTTCCATATGTTTATATATATTTCCATGTATTTTTATTTGGACACAGATTAAAAAAATATTACTATTTATTAAAATAACTTATGATCCAGATAGTAATCAAATTTTGTTATATTATTTTTAAACGTGATTTAGAAAAATCTGCAATTTTTTCATAGTTTTGTTATTATTTTGAAAATATATATTGTTATTATTTTGAAAACATCCTTAACCAGAATTCTGAATCGTTCATTTTCTACTCTTTAAAATTCCAGTTAATTCATCCAAACAATTTTCTCCGCGTGTTTTGGCTAAAAAAAAATTAACGATACATTGAGTGAAAGCAGCGGCGATCTATGGAAATGATTAAAAACAATTCAAATTGAGTATAATTTGAATTTATTACTCTAAGAATTAAATTATTTGATATTTGTAATCATAATTACATAGTACTATAATTATGATTATAACTACTATAGTATTAGTAATAATAAGTTCGAGCAATAAACAGATTTTATATTACCATTTAAATTATGTTAGAAGTCTCTGCGTTTTTTCTTATATTTTTTATATCATGTTAAAGAAGGACCTATGATCACGAAACATATATTATTTTTTTAATAAATGTATTGCTTATTTTAATTTTATTTTTACCTTTTTATTTATACCTTTTTGTAAGCTCGACCATTGACTGAATCTTTTTATAATTTTACTTTGCGTAATACGAGCGAATTTTTACTTTTATAATAATAATATGTTCTGAGATGATAAGATAAACATTAATTAAAAATTACGAGCGATTGAGAGCAGTAATTGATGCGTTTAATCGTGACAATAGTGTATTTCACTTCTTCCATGACAAATCGATCGAATGTTTCAGCTCCATTCGAGTCATCTTCAATGAAGTAATTACATGTGAAGTATTGTAATTATGTGTGATTCCTGGTTAATATCAATATAATGTATTAAATCAAAGAGTGCAATAAGAAGAGTCTCTCAATTCCAAATTTAAGAGAGTAACTGTCAAAAAGCTGTATGGCTAAATGACTGCATTTCTAGATTGCACACTTGAGGGCATTATAATAATGTATCAGAAACGAAAATTAAAAAATATCATTCGATGTGGCTGTGATTTCAACATTGTACTAACAATAAATTCGTTTGTGTAACGAAACTTATTTTAGTTAGTTCAATATTGAAGTCTCTAGCCGCATCAAATAATATTTTTTAATTTTACACTGAAGATGGCTCAAATAGAGCTAAAACGTTCGTGTTTAATACCGAATCCAAACGGTGTTAGTAATTTTTCTTAATCACTAGAAGGAGCCATTTTCGGCTCTTTAAACGCGAAAAATCGAATTCGAATCTACAGATCGCGAGTCCGCACCGAGCAACAAGCCACTCGGCGCTCCAATAATAATTTTCTATTAATTTATTATATTTACCAACACTGTATTATTTTTACTTTTATTGTTCATCTTAAACTAATTTTACTCAACTTTATAATATATTGATACGGTTATAGTTATTTTCGATTGCCACAACTATATATACTGATTGATAAAATTATACATATAGTTATTATTTCTAATACTATATAATAATCATAATCATAATTATAGTAATATATAATTATACATAGTTACAATTATCAAACAGTTTTTCTCTCAATGTATGAATTTAATAGTACACATTCAATAGCTCAGCGAGCAAGCTAGCAGCTTCGTTCGGCTCGAACACGGCCAATGATTTTAGGAATATGATTTCGAATTCCCAAAACGTTGTTCGCAACGAAACAAATCTTTTCTTCATCTATACACTTCCCAGCGGGACGTAACACCGCCTGTCATCGCATCGTACTTACAGCGATATTTTTATTCAAGACCGTGCCGACAAAAACAGGCACGCCGCGCCCGATAAATCTCACGGACTCGTGAACAAAGTCGCGTGCGGCAGTACCTTCGATATAGAAATCAGATTTATTGGCGCGGCGTGTTCCGCAATTTTTTGCCGATTAGGGAAACGGCTGCGTCTGTCATACGGAGATAAACGATTCGCGCTCAAGGAAAGTTCGGAGATTCGAATTGCTGGACTGTATACGAG